AGCCATCGCTATAGTAGGGTGGAGGCCATCGTTAGTACAATGGTTGGAGGCCATCGCTAGTAGGTTGGAGCCCAGCGCTAGTAGGGTGGAGGCCATCATAGTAGGTTGGAGACGGTTGGAGGCCATCGCTAGTAGGTTGGAGGCCATCGCTAGTAGGTTGGCGGCCATCGCTAGTAGGTTGGAGGCCATCGCTATAGTAGGGTGGAGGCCATCGCTAGTAGGTTGGAGGCAATCGGTAGGGTGGAGGCCATCGCTATAGTAACTCAGTAGGGTGGAGGCCATCGCTATAGTAGGGTGGAGGCCATCGCTACAGTAGGGTGGAGCCATCGCTATAGTAGGGTGGAGGCCATCGCTATAGTAGGGTGAAGGCCATCGCTATAGTAGGTTGGAGGCCATTGCTATAGTAGGGTGGAGGCCATCACTATAGTAGGGTGGAGGCCATCGCTAGTAGGTTGGAGGCCATCGTTAGTAGGTTGAAGGCCATCACTATAAGGTGGAGGCCATTGCTAGTAGGTTGGAGGCCATCGCTAGTAGGTTGGAGGCCATCACTATAGTAGCCATCACTATAGTAGGTTGGAGGCAATCGCTATAGTAGGGTGGAGGCCATCGCTATAGTAGGGTGGAGGCCATCGCTTTAGTAGGGTGGAGGCCATCACTATAGTGTGGAGGCCATCGCTAGTAGGTTGGAGGCCATCGCTAGTAGGTTGGAGGCCATCACTATAGTAGCCATCACTATAGTAGGGTGGAGGCCATCGCTAGTAGGTTGGAGGCCATCGCTAGTAGGTTGGAGGCCATCACTATAGTAGGGTGGAGGCCATCGCTAGTAGGTTGGAGGCAATCGCTATAGTAGGGTGGAGGCCATCTCTATAGTAGGGTGGAGCCATCGCTATAGTAGGGTGGAGGCCATCGCTATAGTAGGGTGGAGGCCATGACTATAGTAGGGTGGAGGCCATCGCTAGTAGGTTGGAGGCCATCGCTAGTAGGTTGGAGGCCATCACTAGGTAGGGTGGAGGCCATCGCTAGTAGGTTGGAGGCCATCACTATAGTA